ATCCCGTTTATGGGTTGGGCTCAGCCAACAGCCTTCGCAGGCGCGTTTGGAATCTCTTATGAAAATTCTGCTGCCAGGTTTTCGTCATCTTAAACGAAATAGGAGGAATACGTGGCAGATAAAATTAAATTTCCTTATGATCCAGCAATGTCTACTTTTGATGACGACGAGTGTCCGACCTTGCGCAATCGGAGTGATGGTTAAAACATGATTGTAGAAAGGGGGAGGTAGGGGTCATCAAACCTTGATGGTCGAAAGGAGATGTTCCTTTTTGCTGTCCTATTTACTCGGAGCCATCACTGCCGGTTTCGTGCATAAACGAACACAAACATGCACATACAAATACACATTCAGAGACAGACACACTCACAGGCTTCGAAGCTCACAAATGATCGTAACTAACCAAATCACTTTATGCTGGATCAAAGAGGCCAGAGGTAGAGTATGTGTACCACTTTTTAGGAATTTGCCGGTGAGTTTTCTTGACTAGTTAGCTTAAATTTGCTGACGCTGTTTCCGAGGCAATCTCCTTCGATTCCGGTGAAGAGGTGCTAAGCTTTCGTCCATCATCAGAGCAAGGTATCATCGTCACAAGCAAACTTAAGCTGACGAGTCAAGCAAACATACAGAAACAGACACACTCACAGGCTTCGAAGCTGACAAATGATCGTCTCACTAACCAAATGACTTTATACCTGATCAAAGAGGACAAATGTCGAGTAGATATACCACTTTTTAGAGATTTGCTGCTGAGTTTTCTTTACTCGTTAGCTTGAATTTTGTTGTTTTGATGTTCGTCATGCGATGGACGAAAGCTTGGTACCTTTTCACCGGAATCGAGTGAGATTGCCTCGGAAACAGCGTCAGCATGAATGTTCCAGTAAAGCCAATCGACAGCCGTCGTCTTCTGGTGGAACCGACCTTGGAATCTCTTCACGCAACACTTCCACTCGAAAAGGAAGCAAGCTCAACAATCACTTCTAAATCGTCAGTTCAACTATGCAGTCGATCTATTCTGCAAAAGTGGGTTGTTAAACCACTCGATCTGGTGTGTTGTGGCGGTTGTGTGTCCAGCCACCTGCGATGTCTGAAACCACAACCTTGGGCATGCGTTTGTGCTCCGACAACCGCAATCTCCTCTTCTGCCTCAACGCGAAGTTGAAGGCCTGTTCTCTCACTCAACCTCTCTTCGCCGGCGTCACGGACCGTCTTTATTGGCCGGACCGAGAAATGTCTATTTCGCTTCTCACTTTTGACTGCCTCTCTTGTTGCTGCCACTTTTCATTGTCGCTTCTGCCGCGGCCTCTTTGTCCGCCTTATTTCCTGTCACCCTCATTCCGGTTCCCTCCTCTGCCCGTTTCTTCCTTACCCCTTGCTAACGCCCACATACACATACACACACACACACGCGCGCAGATACATGCATGTACACGAGAGAAGAGTGATGAGTGACTAGAAATGTCGGTGTGTTTGTGTGCTTGGCGGACGGGTCAGGTGAGCTGCGGACTGCGTCGTTTGGCCGTTTGCTGTCGCACGATGGGTAGACGTTGTGTGTGTGCATGCAGCATGTGTCATGTGACATGTGCCATGTGGCATATGGCATGTGGCATGCGGTATAGGGCGAGGTGGGGGGGAAGGGCATCCGATGAGGAGGGGAAGGGAGGCGAGGCGGAGGTTGGCGTCGGTGGCCGATGGTAGGGCCGGTTGTCAGGGCGGGGAGAGAGAGAGAGGCAACAAGCGGACATGACGAGCAGAGAGACGTCAGATTCCGTGCCAGACGTGGGGACAGCGTCAGAGGCTGCCAGTCGCAAGCTCACACAGTCTGCCGTGGCCACGCGGTTGAGGCCGATAGTCGACAAACGCTCACAGACAAACACATACACATACAAACCCCCTGTTTTATGGGTTCCCCGGCGCAGGAACAGGCCAAGTTGGTTACGCGGACGGACGAAAAGATGGCCGAATGAGCATGCGCTATTTTATTGGAAAACATGCGAGGCAGAAAAGAACTTGGTTACAACATCAAAAGCCGCATGAATGCGATATTGGCAAACACGGCGACGATGTCGATGACTTCGGGGACAACAAGAATTGGGAGGGGGGGTGCTTGGTTTGCTGATGATGACGATGAGGGAGAGAAGGAAAAGAAAGGCAATGATAATGAAAAAAAGGTATTATTAGCAATAAATACAACGTATGATTATTATCCATTTTCTAATGTTATTATTTTTATTGTCATCGTCATTGTTGGTGTTGTGGGGGGG